ATCTTTCGAAGACACTTATCTAATTATTACCATCTGTTTTATAAATAATAAAAAATGTTCTTTTTCTTGTATGAAGAGACGACAAACATCATATCAATTGACTAAATTAAAGACTTTTTACTTCTACTCAAATGAAACATTTCAATGGAAAATAAAAATAAAGTTATTTGAGAAACAAATCTCTGTGAGAAAAAAATCGTGTGGTTTGATATATTTTACTCGAATTTCTCGAGATTTCGCATAAATACACATATACATACGTGTCCTTCCCTGATGGTGAGGGTGTCACGGAAATCTTATTGAGGGTGCTATGAAAATCTTTATCACACGCTTTTGCATATATCTCTCTACTGAGGATGCTCGGAAATCGTGATTCCGCATGAAAGACATACTTCCTACTGAATGAACTTGACGGAATTTGGATGGAAATCTTCCAATTTCTCATTCGCGATTCATCCAGTAAGCAATGTGGTTTTCATGTGAAATCACGATTTCCGAGGCCCTCAGTGAGAGAGACTTACTGTGTGTGGTAATACCTGATAATCCCGAGGACTCCCTAGTAATGCCTGGTACAAACTAATAGAAACTGAATTATTTTGTAATTCATTTACATCATCTAGTGATTTTCAATTAATCTCTAAACTAGTTTCTTATTGAGTATTATTTCTTGATTTGCTTTTATACTATCATATAGCTATTATTATAGTCTTTAATCAACTTACAAGCAGTTATGGGTCTCAAAACGAATCAAAAACAAGAATTCAAACATTGGAAAATCGAGAAGAATAACTGATGAGAGAACATGTAGTCATGGAAAAATGTCTTGATGAAGTTCAAGAGATTAATAAAGAGCAGTATGAAACAGTGATCAAACAAATGACCAAATTGATGTTAGTACTCATAGCATCACAGACTAGTGAAAAAATAGTCGACAGGACAAAAAGCGAAGGTATGAAGAACAATGTCACTCAATTTATTAATCGAAATGGATTTGAACAGATTTATAAGATTCAAGTTCGAAATAGTAATCATGTTGTAGCAATTAAAGTAATGAACAATTTACTACTGACTTAAGAAGAAATTGAGAATGAAATTTGTTCTTTTTTACATTTAAGAAAAAAGTTATAGTTGCAAGATTTCTAATTAAAATATTTTTATTGTAAAAGAATTCGCTCATAATGATATTTTGACATTCGGGTTTGAAGGAATGAATAAAAGAAATCTTGAAGAAAAATTTACTGTCCATATTATCATTATTATTATCATGTATGCATTGCGTGCATTAGAGTCTTGCAGTTTCAGAGAAAACTTGAACCGAGAATAGAATTGAAAATGTTGGAACCGATAGATTCTTGTTAACGGTAACTATTCTAGTAAATGAACTGACTTCAGAACACCCTTTCTAAATTTTTTGATAAAAAAATTTTTTTCAATCGTATTCAACAATTTTTTTATTGAATATTGAATTGCTCTTTTCGGTTATAATTATCAGAGCAATTCAATTTTCAATAAATAAAATGTTTGGATATGATTTCAAAAAATAAGCGAATTATTATGATATTGGAACAGACACAATAGTTCATTTATTGATTAACCAAAAAAAGGAAACATTTTTTATAGAGTTGAGGTTGAATTTTTTTTCTTTTTTAGCGCTGAGCGGGTGAGGGTGTACATGGGTATCGCTCATTTGGCACAGTGAGACTCTCAAATGTTGGAAAACGTAGGAAAGGTCTACGATGCGCGTATGTATGTATGTACGTGCATTAACCTTACCCAATGTTGGCCTTTGTACGTCTAACATACAGTCTCTCTGTACGCGCACGCGAAGTGGATAGATAGACATTTATTTACACAATCAATTTAGTTATTTACTGTTTCATTTCAAAGCGTCTTTTCGATAATAACAAAAGAACAGAAAAACTATTTTTGTTCATTAATCGTGTAAGCGACTATTTCATGGAGAATCGTTGTACTCGATGATTCCAACAATCGACGACATAGAGATTGTTCTGACGATCAAATGACAAACCTATGCCACCAGTGAGCCGATTCGTTTGATTTCCTTCGCCATTTCCACTAACAACGATACTTCCCTTTTTGGCTCCTTGTGGCCAACACATTATTCGACGATTCCTAGAGTCAGCCACATAAACAGTGCCCAATTGATCGACGATCACTCCGTGGGGATCATATAATTGTGTTAGAGCATTCCCTTCACCTTGACCACCAGCCACAACAATGCCTTCTTTCGTTTCTTTCACCCACTTCATCACACGATGATTGTTCTCATCCGACACATACACTGAATGATCTCGATCAACGCAGACGAACACAGGAGTATTGAATTGATCGAGACGATTACCTTTTCCATTACCACCTGCCACCACTGTTCCATTCATTTCACCCACTCGCCATCGTTTCACTTCATGCTTTTCCGTGTCAGTTACGTAGAGAAATCCCTCATCGTCCATCGTCAAACCCCTGCATTTTATATCCGCGATGATCGTTCGTCCACTTGTGCCACCTCGACGAGGCCATCTCACCACTCGACGGTTCCATCTGTCGCAGATGATGAGACTATCTGTTTGTTTGTCGATAATCACATCTGATGGGCAATTCAACTGATCATTTCTGTTTCCTTCTCCATTTCCACCTGCAACTACTTTCCCACTCTTTGCACCACACTTCCATTCCATAATACGGTGATTGTGGAAATCAGCGATGTAGAGAGTTTGATCATCATCAACATATAAACCAAGCGGGCCAGACAGCTGATTGAGCTTACTGCCCCATCCATTTCCTCCAGCCACAGTAATGCAATTCTGAGACCATTTGGAATTTAGAGAGATCTGTGGCCATTCTGCAATGAAAGGGAAAAAAATGATGAAGTTGTGAATAAAAAGGATTCGAGTGAATCGAAAAGACTTGAACATGAGAGAAAGTTCAGGATTCGTAGCTGTCAAAAAAAGTGTCAAATATGATCGATGAACATGATTTTTGAAAGTGTAGTCGAAATGATGATCTTTTTGTTCACGACGACATGCATATGTATCTTTCTCAGGACGGCATATTTAAGCTTATATTTGGCGACTCTAACTAACTAATGAATAGATCCTTTACATCTCGATCTACTCAGTAGCTGTCATTTGTTTAATTTTGAATTGAAATAATGGAAGTGAACATAGTGAGATCAATGTATGTAAAATAAAGTACATAGAAGTGCGATATGCGTACAATGCTTTACTTCTTCATTGTTGAGTGGCATGAGCGATGACGACGACCTTTTATTGCGTGACCAATCGTCTTATTAACTAGATGTCTGAATGCACAGTTCGAAAATTCAAGTATTGTGTTCTTTAATCATCCAGTGAAAAATATTTATCAAATAAAATGGTAAAGAACACGTTCATCAAAAAATGGAACGCTTTCTTTCGTGTTCCACTATATTGTTCAATGATTTCTTTTCAATACAAAATAATTTTTTGTTTATACGGAACGTGTTCTGTGTCAGTCTATCTGTCTTCATACTTAGAAATAAAAAATTTCGTTCGACACCTTGCTTATAGTGAACAAATATCGTTCGGTGCATTCAAAAGTATTTTGTTTAAGTAAAACAATGACGACAATGAACGATTTTAGCTTTCTCTTGTAAACAGTTAATGTTCGCAGATGAATATTAAGCCATTGATATCAAGACATTTGTACATTGAATAAATAAATATACCGTACAAATGACGAGTATAAAAAACATTAGTAGCAAAAAAAGAAAAGGAAAATATCCAAAACTTAGATTTATTATTTTATAGAAGAAAAAAAGTTATAATAATTTATCCTAGTGTGCGAAAGTCTTTGCACAAAATGTTTGTTCAATTTTCTACCACTTAAAAGTTAGTATAGAGAATGAAAAGTAGTCAGTTAGGATCAAAAATTGATGCTCTTTCAAAATGTATGTTCAGAATTAGTTTCTGATTTAAGGCTGATTCACTAGGAGTAAATACTTGAATGGACTCAAAAGGGACGTTTATACAAAGAAGACTAACAAGGAAACATTCCCAAGTGGCCAAGCGCTTTTCGGCAGGAACTTAATGTATCTTACAGACCTTGGTGAACTATGTCTACCCCAAAAAAGAGTTCGTGCTTATGGACTCTTTCTCAGAAGATTGAACGCTCTCAATTTTACAGTTGAAGACTCTCGTGAATAGTCAACCACAAAAGACACAGAATATTCAAAAGATTTTTCTTTCTATCAAACTTTGTAAAACTTTTTCCGCTGATCATTTTGTTAAACAAAGTTTCCGAATTTCATTTAGAGATGGCGGTATTATGGTCAAAATACTAAACACTTAATGAGCGGATATAAGACCTTATCAACGAAAAAAATTTAGAAAAAAAGAACGATCCCAAATTCTCCTTTATCTTGTACCATTGAAAATAAAATGCAGTCAAAGTCTTTTGTGCTCTATCTATATGTGAGGTGAGTTTCAAGTTTCCTCTATCAAGACGAGGCAAGAGACAGTTATAAGATTGACAAAATGTTATTAGTTTAATTATTATGACAATCGCAACATACATGTTGTGATATCAACTATCCTTTGAAAAGTGAAAAGTCTTCATAGAACTCCTTTAAGCTCAAATTTCTGAAACTAAGAGTGTAACAAAAATCAAGATTTCATAGGCAAATGTTTTTTTTTGTAGAAACTTTCTCATCTTTAACAATACAAATTAACTTCCCTTTTGTTGACGATACTTGTACAGATGGTTTGGGCGTAACACTTGCTGTTGAATATTTTTCTTCCTTTTTTCGTGAACTTGATGTATGTGATGATGGTTTCGATTGAGGTAAAGCCTGTTGCCATTGACTCAGATCAAAAGGATCTGCAAGCATTTTATACGGTGGTGGAATTTCACGTAGATGAATGACATGTAAACCATTAACCGAGCTAAACGTATCGATCACTTTGAGATGTATGCCTGGAGGAAGAAGAATTTCATCCTCTTCTTGGAAATAGGAATGTGATCGAATAAGTTTCCCATTATTGGTCTCAATGGAGAATATTGTTCTTGTGCCAGAAGTTCCCGCATATTGTGAGGATTCGAGTACATTGATTGAAGAAGTACACGAACTTATTCCCCACCATGTAAATTCTTTACCCGTCGGATAAAGGGTGCTTAAATCTTCGAGAACACCACGCCACACCGTTTGATATTCAGTTGGCCTGAAATAAAATCCTATCATGTTACATAGTCATGCATATTTGTTACGTACGGTAATTTAAAAAATGCCGTCAGGAACAATTTTAAATATTTGAACCACGGTTGCAATTTTCTTCGATTAGCCATACGCAACGTGCGATTCAACACTGCATAAAGACTATTTTCAGTTTTCTTCCATTTCATGGTGTATAAACGAATGGAAGCTGACTCATCCTGAGTCAGTTCATCTTTAGGTTCTGCCGAATTCGCTTTTGCGATAATTATATTTTGTTTCAGTTCTTCGTCGATAATGTCTTCCAAGGACTTGCAGACATCTTCAAGGGGTAAGATGGACTCTTCTTCGTATCCAGATATTGGTTGAAGCATTTGCATTGGTTCGTCGCGAACACTCGCCATCAGACGAGGATTGACTTCCATGGAAGTGGCCATATGAGTATGTGTGCGTCTTACTTAAAATTCGATGAAATTTGAATACTGTGTTATGCTATACAACAAGTATACTTTAAAAAGAACGACTTAGATAAACAAACGGCAAAAGAATGTTACTGGAATGAAGACTTCTCTTACTTTCTTTCGTGCCTCTATTCACAATTTGTCACTTTCACTAGCTGCATACGTATATATATACAGTGTAAAAGCAAACAAATAGTATCGATAGAGACTGTATACTGTTGTTTTCTTTTACAACGAAGAATTTGAGAACAAAAAAGCAAAAAACTCTATTCTATATTGTATATATCACAAATCGAAAAATTTTTGTTTCATAAACATAAATTCTAATACAGATTTTTACACCACTAATTTAGCAACTCGAGATATTAATGATCGTCTAAAATTTTGTTTTTGATAATAATTTGTTTTGTGTATTGTTTTATAAAATCAAATAAATACGAAGATATCTGAAAAGTTGTTAAAATTCATTATGACACTATTTATAAAGTAATAATTGCATCAACGACACATTATCTCTTAAAGATGTGCCAATGGCTCACTTGTATTTTAGTGATAAGTGAAAAACAGTTTAAAAATATGAATCTCTTTTAATAGAAAGTTATTTGATTGT